GACCTCTAACCATTGACCAACCTGGTATGAGAGACTCTGTGAGTGTCGCGCGGACACCCCCCAGTATAGCTCAATGGGTCTCCGAGGTACACAAACCGCCACACCACGGTAAGGTCCAGTGTCTTCGTGACGGAACTGATGACAGACGTCATCGAGTTTGCTGGTGAGGCACACGTTAGTGTTCTGGAACAGCTTGTTTCCATAAGACGTAACAGGCCGTGTCAGCAGCCCATATTGGTGATATGCGTTTACACGCATTAGTGGTCTGAGGTTTCCTGGCGCAGCTCAATCTCGGGGTTGTCCCAGAGGCGCAATAAACGGGGACAATATGCTTTTCACGTTTGGACGCGATCCAACTGATCTATACCGTCCACCATGTAAACCGAGATGGCTGCTATCAATTGCTGGCAGATGCAAAACGGATAAGAAACTGGAGCGCCATACCAGTAATCCAAACCAGAGCCATCAAATCGAATCACATGGGACTCCCATGGGTTTGTGCTCTGTACACATTAAAGACATCGAAGAATAAAAGCACTAAAATGGATCTTAGTTAACAACGGCACAATTCCACATAGAGCACGCAGGACTAAGTCTGAGGAAGAAACGAACACTTGATTGTTGGTCTGTTCGCCGAGCTTGGCAGTTGGAGTGCAAACGTTTCATCACCAATCGAGGTGATATCGTCAGTTCACTGCACTGCCAAGCTTGGCGAACAGACCAACAACCAAGCAGCGCACCCGAGCTACCTACATTCCACAACATTGCTAGAAACGAACGCAAATACATAAACCGGTAACCCAAGTCAGGGGCTTCCATTAGTGAACCATACCAGGTTTCTACAGGCTTGGGAAGTGGTACTCACCCGGACAACACAGTGAAAGATTACAACCGAAACCTGGTGGTCAGTATCTTCGCACTGACGGAATTCAGCTCATCCAATATCTTTCCATTCATATGATCCACCGAAAAGAATAGGACTCCACGTTCAGGTCAAACATCTTGTGAAGCAGAACAGGTAACCAGATCCCCGCAGTGTACTGACAGATGAGTATGATATCGCTCCAAAAAGGCAAGGTTTTTCACAAGTGAGCTGGGCTGAACAGTCTGCTGCTTTTCTAAATCCCCTGCTTCTTGAGCGGTTATCCATCTGCCCCAACGCAGTAGGTATGCGTTCTAGGTGACAACCAAAACTACAAACAACGCATTACTTTTCTGTGACTCAACCTGATTATATGCCATGTAATACCTATCTATCCTACTTTGTCCGCAATATGTTGCGGATGGGCCCAAGTTAGAACCAACGGTACAAAAGTTTCGTTGTCCTGAGGCAACAGCTGTGAATCAATATTTTCGTTGAAGTGACTTAAGAATCTTTGCAAGATGATTGGACAACCTGAACGTGGGTCATCCCGTATAGTCCACAATCCTAGATTAAGGAACGCTCTATTACTGCATAGAATTGCTAAGACTTACAGTTTGCCTGTCAGTTAATACACAATATTTTTAGTACATACGGTGAGGACTGGAGCTAAACAATAAGCTGCACATTCTTATTTGTGGCGACATAATACTGGGTCGATTCAGTGGGACAGTGTAAGAAACGGGGCAAAGGTGTGCATGAAAGAGGGTTTGCATTCTTGAGAGACCATTTGAGAGACTGTTCAATTAAGAAAGCAACTGTAGTTCAACTACGGGGTTGCCTAACAGCTGAGATCGAATTGTTGATAAGCAGTTTTAATGTACCTTATGGTGCCATCTATTTAATCAATTGTACTAATATTGTCACAATGGACGAAATTTTCATTTTAAAAAACATAGAGCAAGGTAAAAGTCTACCGAAATCGACACAAATATTCACATATTCATGTTGCGCTCAACTACAAAAGTAAGCGAGGTTGAGCACAGGTTACTCATTAGTATGGACAGGTAGTGGCAGAACTTGCCTGGACAACCAACAACTACAGTGACCTTTGTTGGGTTCTGCCTTTAGTCGGATGATTACGCTCATCATTAGCCTTTGATCTAAAGTGCTTTCCCGATATTATCACAAACATTCTTCGGACAAGAAAGCGGTTCGTATGTTTTTTAGCAAAGCCATGTAACAGAAACTTAATCAAATAAATTAAGTTCAGATATTTCTTTGAACAGTGATGCTCGGAGTACTGTGTATTATGACCCAAAGTTGAATTCGGAAGTGAAAAACGATTGAGATGAAGATATTGATGAAAGCAGATATATTGGGTTGCCGGAGATGACAAGCGTTACCGACAATCGGTTTGAACACAGCTACTAACCCCGGAAGATTTTGCATCCCCATCTGAGAAACGGTTCCATCCGTTGGCCCGACCCGCGCTGTCGAGAATACTCGCAATGGTCTCCGAAGCCTTGATTGGTACCGTACTCTTCTCCACTACCACCTTGGGGCTCCTACTTACATTGGCAACCTTGCGAGCAGCAGCCTCAAGGTTAGCCATATTTGGAGCTCGACCCTATCGGCCAAGAAGGAAAATGAGTGATACGTGAACATAAAATTTAAAAAGGTACTCACACAGGAGAAAAAACTAAAAAAACTATTGCCAAAAGCCAAAATGGATATACTTTGCTGAAGTCTGACTAAGAAAGAAAGCGTCCAGCTGTAGCACCCTTCCGGTGCCTAGCTGCCATGCCACCCGAAGGAAGCACGAGGGCTGGGATACTGCCAGGTTGCCCAAGCCCTAGACAGGGGAAGTCTGACTAAAACAAGAGCGATGACAGTATTTACCGTGAAAGGTCCAGATTCGTCCTTACAAAAGGAAACGATGGATGTATTTAATCTACACATCATAATTTCCATCTGAATTTCATCAATCTCCGAGCAAACCTTCACTCGAGCCTGAAGCTTATAACACATATACTGCTCAGGAGTCGTAATGGGTGGCCAGAAATGCGAAACTCGCATTCTCAAGCCGGCTCCAATGACAGGTTCTGCAACTCACGTGACAGGTAGGTTATCTCACTTTGGTCGACGTTATGTTCCCCATCTCCGATAAAACTAATTCAGTGACCAGGTCCACATGGTTGGCTGTTCTCGACGCTCGAACCACTGGACACTTGCGCATAGCTATAACAGAACAAAAGGTTCGTACGGAGCCAGATGTCTTGCTGCATGTAAGCCTGATAAGCTTATATGAATCGGGAGATCTGTGGACCAACCTATAGAGGTCTGTTTAGAGCCATCAGCCAGTCTAAGCATGAAAGCAACACAGTCAGTCCCACATATAGGAAAGCAGCTGGATTAGGAATTCATAACCACTGTTAAGAAGAGGCTCAGCTAAGCCACCCGATCGAGAACAAACGATCGTTCAGCTGTAACACCCTTTCGGTGCATAGCTGCCATGCCACCTGAAGGAAGCACGAGGGCTGGGATACTGCCAGGTTGGCCAAAACTAGACAGGGGTCGATATGCAAAGATCGGATTCGAACCAAGGGTTTTCCGACCAGTAAATTCGCACTAACCACTGACCCATCTCGCCCCCTTGATGATCCGAAAACGTGATTAACTAGCACATAAAAAGGAAAATGGCTTTGATACTTCGCTGCCAATCCATTGCTTGACCTCCGCTGGTTCGTTTCCACCCTTCGCGTGGTTGTCAGAAAAGAACTCCCACGACCGAAGATATGCACTACCGATGAGCGAAGCTCGAGTTCAATAGTATGGCTACTCTCTTTGAAGTTACTCAAGTTACTCAAGGACGGAAACATGGTTGTCCAAACGACGATGTGCTATTGTGCATATAGGATCCATCTTGAAATTAAAGCAAATCTACACAGACAAGCCAAGAAGCACTGCACGACTGTTTCCTTATTGTTAGGAATGATCAATCAGCAATGGGCGTGCTGTAATTCTTTGGGGAGACTCGAAATCCTCCATCCATTCAGTAGCTGAACACTGGACTAGTTGGTCAGAAGTGCCTGATCTGCAACTTGACGTTCCACCGAAGAATCGAAAGCATCGCGAAAGACGAAAAACACATAAGAGGAAAGTTGGAATTCACATATTCATTAACATTCATTCCATTAATATAGGGTAGGTAAGCTCCGTTTCGATGTTTTTTACCATAAAGAACGCTGAAGAAGTCAGTGAAATATGAATTTTACGAATTGTATTCGAATATAGAGAATGTGCATGAAAGAACAGCGAGCATCTCCATCAGCAGCAATGTAGAGTTCAACCGGGTTACTGGCAGTCCACAATATCAGCACAACGGGGAATGAAATTCATCCGACGGACATAACCCACCATGCTTACCCATTACTATTTCGTAAAACTACGGTCCATCTGATCGTAACGGGAAAAATACACTCGCGACTTGAATACATCTATACCCTGTTTTTTTACGCAAAACTTCCGAAATTCCAGTGACGCAGTACTGAACAAAACAAAAGTACACACACTTTGGATTACGCAAACCTCAAGCAGGCGCGCAAACAAACTAAAAACAATCCTGAGGAAATTACATGGCCACATATTTTCCACCGAAGATTACCCGTTGTCTGGTTGAGGACAAATGTTTTCTGAGTGTGACATTTAAGGCATTAGAAATCACAGTTTCAACTGTTCTCAAAATTTTGATACTACCCACCTAGATAGATAAATATTCTCACCCGGACAGTGGCATCTTGGTAATAGGTCCATTTTTCCGTTTTATAAGGATCGGGCGACGGTCCACATTGACACAAAAACTTCACTGGCAGTGGAATGAACAGATAAATATCAAACCAAATGTCTAGGGGCATATTGAACTTAGAGTAAATCCACTGTTTAATTTTAGTTGCTATGTTATGAGTAATTCAGGTATGTGTGCAAATCAGATTCCAGTCTAAAAAAATTGGACCATTCACATTTGGCGCAATGTAATAACCGAGTTGGATCTGAGACTACTAGAACAGTAGTAGAACGGAGCGATTATATTCAAATGAATGTGTACTGAGAAAAGAACGCCGAAAGTTCTCCATAATGAAAATAAAGTCATAGACCACCACAGATCCATATCGTTTTCTATGTGTGAAGACGTCACCCACAAGGTGTGTTCGGTTTCTGCTTCCCCACGAAGGAAACTACTTCAAAAGGCACCCCTTTGACACGGCCCTACAGCTAAACTAAGTAGATGACCATGAAATAGCACGCTCCTTGCTCCACCTGTTTCTAAGATGTGAGTAGGCTATATGGTGAAGGAAAAGCGACCGAAATAAGAATAGCAAACTGAGTTGACACGCGCTCGCTTACCTGTCCAATACCGTACTTCTTCGTTGGTGTGTCCACCGAAATGAATATGAGCTCAGCCTCATCGATCGCCTTGTCGATATCTGTTGAAAAGAACAGGTTTTTTCCACGCACCGCTTTCACAATATCTTCCAGTCCTGGCTGATTAAACAAATTGGGTCGAAACATGGATGAAAATACTAGGGTAGGAGCGAATACTATGAAAACAAAAAACAACCCGTGGATCTTAAGCGCTCCGAGACAAGACAATATGCACTATTAGGAAGCACTTAAATTTTTCACGATAGTTATACTTCAGCAGAGGAAACAGAACACACTTCACTAAACAGGTGCTCAGCAAAACAGCACGAAATTTAATAGAATACTAATTTGCCAAATGATTACAACGAGTGAAAGATGAGTACCTGGTCAACAGATGCTGAAAGGATGTACTTCGACCATTTAGATCAAACACCTTTGCATGACACTTTGACAGACTTTGCTGAGTACCACTTTAGTGCAACATCTCGACGCGGTAGCTTCCTCCACTAGTTCTCAGTTGGGTCACTAGCTACCTATTCCAATACACTGATGCCACGAACCGGAAGTTAAATCGCATTTAGGCGAAATATTATGTCCTATTTACTCAGAGGAATCGGACGCAACAAGAATCGATTTTCTATACCCACGCTAACGTTGGAGGTGGTGCTGCCTATTAGCTTATTCCGCAGGCAAATAAAATATGTATCTTCTCACCGATACACATGTTCAAAGGTCATTTATTCGAATTAAACTGGTCTAACCTCGACAGCTCTCATTCCAGCAATAAGTTCATGCGTTCCGTCTGTTGTTAAATGTCGACGGCCTAACGATACGTTTCAGTCCAAGACAAGAACCATTTGGACTCTATACACTCCTCAAAAGTTTTTGTACCTTAGTAAGAAATATTTTTCTGTCTACGGATAGAGCCCTGCCACGTTTGTGGGCTTTTCCAAAACTGGCTAACGCCTTGACGTGCCTCCTAGACCTAATGATTCCTTCATTTTCGTGCATCTGATACCCATCAAAAACCCAGTAAGTGGGCTGAAAAGACAGAATCACTGGATGCCAAGCCCGTTTGGATGTGGAGTTTATACACCGTTGTAATGCCCAGAATGACTGAATATTGAGCGGTCCCAAGTGAACAGCTTGACAATCTGAGGCATTGCCATAACATTGTGAAGGTAGTTTCTGGGGTTTATTTTTCCAAGCAACAGGTGGTTATAGTAGACCGAATGTTTCAGAATACAATGTACCTTATTTCATCTTAAGGAACGTAGCATTACTACGAGCTACCGTCAAGATATTTTGTTGTGGGAAATTAGGTGATATGGAGTATATGGTCTTTAAATCCTGTACGGTCGCGTATATGAGGAACATTAAGAGTGATCCCCTGAGAGTATACTAACAAAATCAACCAGCGACACCTTGATAACAAAGGACCACGATGTTGCGTTACACAAAACAATTACACAGAGTATGTCAGGTAACGGTGTCTATGGCACACTGAATTGACGTGACAGTGCACTAAATGTTTTCATCAATCCATTTTTATACCATCAATTGAAAAATGGCTGGAGGATCTATGATATTCAACGCCATGGCAGAATCCGAAAAGCTATAGCCGAAATGACGGCTTATACCCTGAAAAAGATAAGCTGATGTAAACATATGCCAAACAGTAGGACTCGTGAAACTAGGCTCATGAAACTATTAGGCTGAAGCATTTCCATAAATTTCCTGTTCTGCTTTTTTCAAACCAATAGAAATCTAAACAAGAATGGTAATTTTCATAAAGGAAACTGCCCACAAGGTGCCTGGAAACTCTTCGACAACCCTGTGAGTAGTTTCCTCTATGAAAATACGATGGGATATCTCGAATTTCGTGCCAACTGAATCAAGAGGCGGCCTGTGTGCAGCAGTTGTAGAATATTACAAACTAGAGGTTCAGTTGAATCTCGCGTGAAAACGAAATTGATTTACAAATGATTGTATTTCTTGAAAAGAGTGGTAACTGATATCAGTAACAAGTCTACCGGTTGCGTATCCGAAAGATTCAGCCTAGAGACCCAATAAATCCGTCTTTGTGACAGTTGCGGTACGCATATACTGGCACAACACACCGTAACATACAACAGGGAGGGGGATCACGGATCCAACAAAGTGGTCAGTTTGAGCGCACTCAGTAAGCGCGTTAGAAAATGGATCGATGCAGCAAAAAGCGCGGACTTATTTGCTATGGCTATGATACGCGTAACGCATGTCCATATTCCCGACTATCCGAAATTAATTGTTCCACCCGTCCGGGTTGTTAAACACATAAATATGTCAAAAAAAGTGTTTCAAGGCAACCGGTGATCGTCAGTGCAGTGCTGCACACCCAGGATAGTGCGGCATTTTGAATGGATTTCCTCAAGAAATTTATCACTAGTTGAAAGTATCACTGGCGAATAATGAAGTTCTACGTAATCCTAAAGACAAACCTGCTCTTACTTCGATGCTTGCCCCCCAAACTGCCACCCTTCCCCAAAAGGCGCAAGTGGATGAGTTGATTCAGGTTAGTTACGATTTATTTGTGGTTTATTCAGCCTCAGTGGCTGTTAGAATAGTCCACAGCTGCAGCTCCCTTTCGATGCCTAGCTTCCATGTCACCCGAAAAAAGCACGAGGGCTAGGATACTGACAGGCTGTCCAAGCCTAGACAAGAGAAGTCGATATGTTGATGTCGGGTTCGAACCATTGAGCTTCCGGTCCGTAAGCTGGCACCTTAACCACTGAGCTATCTCGACGCCCGGCTGTTAGAATAACCGGCAGGTAAGCTGCAGAAGTGAGACAATGAATGCACTTGTCGCTGTGGGAACTGTTGAGTTGAAGGCGGCTACGTTGTTCGTGCAGCGCTGACTGCAGTTACGACCAGTAGCAAAACGACAATTGCAGGCTTGCCTCGCCAATCCCGTCCTTCGTGTCGGTAATCACTGTTTTCGACCAGTCGCACCTGTTTGTTCTGCCTGGTTCTTCGCAGTTATCAGAGTTCGCTTGATTGTGATTGGAAGTGACTATTTAGGTTTTATTCAAGGGCACTTCACACTGGGAGTAGAGGCTCATTGTGAGAATTTCAATTGCATTCTGAAGGTTATTTGCTTATTAGGAAGTATCTATCAATGAAATTTCTCGGTTCTCCAAAACCATTCTCCAGGGGGGGGGGGACTAATTGTTGTAACTATCGTACGGCGCATCGATGCCTCATGCCTAAAATTCTTAGCGTTCTCGAGCCACGGGCTTCTAAATATTGTCCCTTCTGAGAGTCGAAGTGTACACGTTCACAACTGAAAAGGGCACCATGGAGAATGGCGATCAATGAAAGGGTTCGCATAGCCCAGCCTTACATGAGGTGATTCCACACCGCTCACCGAGACGGTTGAGATAGGTTTCGCACACGCGACCCTCGAACTATTCGAGTGTGCTGAAAGAAGTCGGAATAAGATGCGGCTGCCAACCAATGACTCGTCATATAGGGATGGAGAGTTCAACAGACCTGCTTATATTGGATTCAACCTAACACTCTGGTTGGGGGGGGCAAGGCATAGTGGACGTTCAAGAGTAGAAACTGCACACGATACGGATAAATTAAATAAATTCTCATAGTATTGCCCAACTAGAACAAAAGCAAAAACAAAAAGCCAACTTGAAGGAAAGAAAATACAGGTTATTTATCTGCTGACCTCGCAACCCCATATATTTTTACCTCCCTTTCTACCAACTGGCGTAACAACACGGCTAGACTCTGAGAAGCTAGGCTGAGGCCACTTGATTCACATGACGAGTTGGGGAAATGCGGATCAAGAGAGACCATATAAGTGGTCCTTGCAGAAGGCTACAACAATGAGACCACGACTCAGAGCACGATGACAATTTTTTTGAGCGAATTCGCTAAGCGGCGCAAAAAGCAGTGAAGAATTGACTAAAAAACGACATTCGGCATCCACCGATTAAATTCGAAACAAGATTCGGCACGCCCACATACCTCGTAGATAGGGAGGATATCCGAGTTCCACTGTTCAATTATGTTTTCGGATATATCAACAACGGTAACTTGGATCTTCGGACAGTGGTGAGCGATCACCGATAATGTGCATCCGCCAACATAACCAGCCCCAATGCCACAAATTTTCGAGACCATACCCAATGTGTGTAAGCTACAAGCAACAGTAACTGATCACGTTAAGTTATCCAACGCAAACGATCTCGAACGTAAATATCTATAAGAAAAGAAATAGCAGTATGAGTCGTGGAAAGACCCACCTTGGTATGACAGTACGGGCATTGGAAACAATGTGGATAAACTGAAAACCGTAATAGGATGGCAGTGAAGCATTCTTACTGCCAATTCAATACCTATGCTAGATACAAAATCGTTCAGATGTAACACCCTTTCGGCGCCTAGCTGCCACGCCACTCGGAGGAGGCACGAGGGCTGAGATACTGCCAGGTTGCCAAAGTCTGGATAAGGGCAGTCGAGATGCAGAGAATGAGTTCGAACCACGAAACTTCCGGCCAGTAAATTCGCATCCTATTCATCCATTCATCCATCTCGAGCTCGCGCTACCAACGTCTTGAGCTTCAAGCTGTCATAAGTGGGGTACCGTACCGCCTTTGACTAACCAGTCAAGCAACTTTAAGACGTCCCAAAACTCGCAACCAGAACCTACAAAGCTGAAGCTAGGTGAGCAAGTCAATTAAGCAATCAACCACTGATCTACCAATATTACCATCAACTGTCGTTTTCCGTTTGAGACTTTTTCAGAAATCGTCCCACACCCCCCATTATTACGGACAACTGCATTTCGTTTACACTTCCGAAAGCGGAACAGCAAACAGCGTAGGATTCTCCTTCTTCAGCAATCCATTTTAGGTTCCCTTCATCCTCCTGTGTCTGATGCAGGTTGCCTGTATTCATACAATTGGTTGTAACATGCGCTTTGGCGGACTGGTGTTAAACCAGCAGCTGGCTGATTATAGATCTGACTCCCGGTAATGTGGACACAATAGATGGTCAAATTTCGCATATGCACACTACTGGCGCCACATTGGGGTTCGGATACAATGGATAAGTCGAGTCAAGAACTCCAGCGTTAGAGCTGAGATCAACAGAATTGAAGCACTGTATTATACAATCAATA